ACTTAATATTAGAATCATTCTGATAAATTATACAGGCCATACTGAATATTCAAAATATTCTTACAGAATGCACGTAACATTTTACCTGAATTGGGTATCGATCTGGTAAAGGCGCCACATGAACATTCTTCACCTTCAAGCCGCTACCGGCAACATCAAAAAAAGAAGTCACGCCCGAACATTAGATTATAAATGAAGAAAACTGCACTATTAGATTAAAATTGTGGTACTTGTGTTGGTTTTACCATCAAGAATAAAAACGCAGAAACAATTAAAATAAAGAAAAATAAAAAATAAAATTTTGTAGGAAAGAATGAAATAGGGGCATTGGTATAACCCTTAAAGAAGAAAGAAAATAAAAATATGAAAACAAATCATGACAAACTTGCACATAATTTACACAAAAATTACACTTTTTATATAATGTGCAAGAATAAGAATATAATAGTGAAATCTTCTCAAAAACTAAGACGTTAAGAAGGAATGAATTAGTGACATTGGTATTACCTTTAAAGAAGAAATTAAAATTAAAAGAAAAGAAAATAATGAAGATTTATAAGGAAGATTGAATTAGTAACATTGATATTGGACTTTAAGAAAAATGGAAACCTTAAAAAACCTACATATTGCACTACAAATGCACCTTTTATAATACAAAAAGAACAAGCATATAATAGTGCAATTTCCGCAGTCTAGCATAATTTAGACACATATTGTATACAACTTACATGTATACATTTTCGAATAAAGAATGAATTAATCATTGGAATTACACTTCGAAAGAAAGAAATTATGAAACACTAAAAATAATGATAAAATTTGCACACAATTTACACATAAATTGTGAATTTTTATAATATGCAAGTATAAACATATAATAGTGCCTGTTTGCAAAATAATTTTTCTAACAAGCAATGAATTAGTGGCAATGTTATTACCCTTAAAGAAGAAATCAGATGAATTAAAACTAAAAACAATCAATATAATGAAGTACTATAAGGAAGACCAAATTTGTGGCATTAATTTTACCCTAACGAAAAATAAAAATGAAATAAAAACTAAAACAAATTGAAAATAATAAAGTTTTCTAGAAAAAGATTGAATTAGTACATTCATATTACCCTTTGAAAAAACAAGAAATGAAAACAAATAATGACAAAACTTGCACATAATTTACACAAAAAATTGTGTTTCTTATAATATGCAAGAATAAGCATGTAGTAGTGAAACTTTCACCAAAAAGAAGTTTCCTCGGAATGAATTAATTAATGACATTGGTACTACCATCAAAAAAAGAAAATATACAAAATTAAATCAAATAACGACAAAATTTGCACATTCTTTACACAAAACACGAGCCTTTATAATATGCAAGAATAAGCATATAATAGTGAAAGTTTCACAAAAACAGTAGATTTCTAAGAGGGATTAATTAGTGTCATTGATATCACCCTTAAAATAAGAAGGAAAATGAACTAAAAACAATATCAAAATCAAAATATTATTTTTTTATCAGAAATGATGAATTAGTAACATCTGTATTACTTCTAAAAGAAGAAAGAAAATGAAACAAAAACTAAAACACAATAAAAATCAAAATATCAAAGTTTTATAAGGAAGAATGAATAACTAGCATTGGCTTTATCCTTCAAAAAGAAAGGAAATGAAATAAAACTAAATCAAAATCAGAATAATAATGTTTAATAAGGAATAATGAATTTGTGGCATTGGTATTACCTTTAAAAAAATATGAAATAAAAATTAAACAAAATCTAAATCTAAATAATAAAGTTTATAAGGAAAAATGAATTAGTGCCATAGATATTACCCTTACGGAAGAAAGAAAATAAAAAACAAACTAAAACAAAATCAAAATAATGAAACTTGTCCACAACCTTGCACAAAATTTGCACCTTTTGTAATACGGAAAGAATAAGCTTATAGTAGTGCAATTTTCATGCTCCAATATAGTTTACACACACACACACACAAGAGAGAAAAACTGAAAAACAAAAAACAATAATGAAGACACAAGAAAAGACACAGAAAACACATTCAGATTCGTACATTTACACAGTAGAGAAAATTCATAAAAGCATATTTAAATCCAAATCAAAACGAGCTTGTTGAATTGATCTAAGTTAGTCTCAATTAACACGTATCATTAGTTCTATCGGCGACCGCGTCACCGCTCCTGCTCGCCCGCACTAGGTGCAAGCTGCATGCATGCATGCCGTAGAGTAGGTGTGTATAGCTTGGATAAAACAAATCGACTGACCCATTTCGTTTTTTCAGTCGACTGATGTACAGCTAAAGCGTTCCTAGCTAGCTAGGGCAGGTGAAGTGTACCCATCCAATAGCGGCGGGTTAAGTATCGCTACCGCAAGCGATGACATCACTGTGCAGTAGCGCGCCGTGCCCGTCCTATACTCCGGAAGTGGATTCTCTAACATCGTAAAGCATGTTACGTAAGCTACAGTAATCGTGACATCCCTCCTTCACATTCATATGGTTAAGCCTAAAATAATTATAATTAATTTGTAAATTACAGATGCACTGTATACATTTATAAAAATTACATACAAACAAAATTATGATGTAATAAATTTATTTTTTGATTTATTTTTGTACATACTACAGCAAATCCGCATAGTAGTTGCTACAGTAATCCTAACATCCCTTTTTTGTTTTACACACGCATTTCACCGTGGCTTCGTGACATCCCTTGAGAATGTCAGAGGATCCACTTCCCTGTACTCCTACCTAGAACACGAGACGGTCGCCCCGCGCCATGCCAACCCAAGCGTCACTCTCACTCCATTATAAACTCCGGCGCGTGTGTGTCTCGCAGCCAGCTGTGGTAGGCGGTAGCTAGGTCAAAGTAAGGATGGCAATTTTATCCATGGACATGGATACCCGTGGATACCCGACCCGAATGGGTAGGGTTTGGATACATTTTTATGCCCATGGGCAGCACCCGAACCCGACCCGGTTACTCGTGGATATGGCATGAATATAATTGTGTATACATGGATATACCCGAACACGACCTGATAGTATGACATGTGTGTCAAAATTCAGTGATCCCCGCAATCCCATGTTTCAATGTATTTTTTATTTATAAAAAGGAAAAAAAATTAAAGTGTACAATCCCTCCTCAGTCCCCACCGTAACTTACTCTGCCTCTTCTCATTCTTTGTATCTCCTCGTTCAATGACTCACCATTAATCACCAGACCATCTCCGTCTCCTCGGCCTACTACTCATGCAGCCCTAGATGCAGCCACCGGCGCAGCCAGCTTTTACCTCTACATATGGCGCACACATGCAACACTTCAGCATTCAACACCATTGTACAGTCGCAGGCCAACTCCAAATCCCCTCGACCCTCCGTCTCGACTTCTTCTCGCACACACCTACAATAGCGGGAGGTGCAAGTCTCTGAGCAGCGATGCAGATCACACCTATGCGGAGCGGCGCGACCTACAATAGCCTTGCTACGCACAGGACCAGGAGCACGGCAGCACCAGAGTGTCGGCCGATGAGCGCAGGCCCAGAAGAGGACCATGCCGCTGCCAAGGAGGTGATGAACACAACAAACAGCCGGCGTTCAGGTTGAGTTTATTTTGTTCCCTGAATCTCTCTCATGTACGGCTGGTGTTCCTATACGTGGGTGTGCAAGTTGTGCTTCTTCCCTGAATCCCTCTCATGCATGTCTGCAAATTAAGTATTTCTTTCATTTTACAGTAGTATTTGGAGCAGTAATAATTTTTGGAATCCCTCTCATGTATGTCAGCAAGTTAAGTATTTCTTCAGTTTACTGTAGTAATTGGGGCAGTATTAGATTTTTTGTTCTGTGAATCCCTCTCATGTATGTCTGAAATTAAGTATTGTATTTCTTTCAGTTTACAGTAGTAATTTTTTTGTTTCCTGAATACCTCTCATGTATGTCTGCAAATCAAATATTTTTTGCAGCTTATAGTAGTAACTGGAAGATATTTATAGAATTAGGTAAATTTTTGTTGGTTACCAAATGAGCACATATCATATTTGGATACATGGCGTGGTCTGTAGATATGCATGTTAATTAGTAATTAGGTTTTACTACATCTCAGTGTATTTTAATCTATAGGATTGTCAATGATTAAGATTCATAGAATCTGACGTGTAATCTTGGCAGTTCTATCTTATCCATAAAAGAAAAAATTTAGAGTAATTAATTTAGGTTTGCAGTGACCATTCACTATGATTTAGAGATTACAATATTTCCAAATTGGTACAATTTACACCTTATGTACCTTGGATCACTTTAACTAAAACTGAAGATTGTCACTCTTTTTTCATGTACAGCTCAGTAGCTTCTCATGGTGGAGCACAAGGCCCTGTTGCCATTAGCCTTGGAAATGTTAACTCTGTATGGAGCCCAACATAAAAAATGTCTGAAGATGATGCCTAGAAGATTGAGGTGAAGAATGGAAGATGATGCATGGTAGTGCATGTGCTTACTTGATGTTGTTCTATGCCATTTTGTGAGAAATCAAGATTGAGAAATGATCGTGTTTTATTGGTATGTCATTCTGCGAAGACGGATAATTGTGTACTTATGTTTATTTGATGTTACGTCATTTTGTGAGAATCTGAGAGCTTATTTGGTGATGTAAACTTGTCCTATGTCATTTTGTGAGAATCTAAGAGCTCATTTGATGTTGTGCACTTTTGCTATGTCCGTTGGTGAGAACTTGGGAGCTTAAGTGAATGTTGTGCTATGTTTTATGTATACGTGTTAAGAGAACCCGGTGGATATCCATACCCGATGGATACTCATCAGGTTTAGACATAAACATAATTTTTTGCCCATGGATTTTTTCATGAACGGGCACACAATGTCTTCATGGATTTGGATATGGATTTGATATCATTCAACCCGAGCCGAACCCAATCCATTGCCATCCTTAGGTCGAAGACAAGATAGTCTCCGTGCTCATCGATCCATCATCTTCCATGGCGCCGCTGCACTTCCTGGTCGTCGCGTTCCCGGGCCAGGGCCACATCAACCCGGCGCGCGCTCTGGCGGAGCGCCTCGCGCGGGCCACGCCGGGCGCGCGGGTCACGCTCTCAGCCGCCGTGTCGGCGCACAGGCGCATGTTCCCCTCGCTGGCGTCCCCCGACGACGAGGTCTACGACGGCGCCATCTCCTACATCCCGTACTCGGACGGCTACGACCACGGCTTCAGCCTCTTCGCCGGCGACGGGGAAGAAGCGGAGCGGTACACGGAGGTGTTCGGCCGCGTCGGCCGCGAGACCTTCTCGGCGGTGCTGGACCGCCTCGCGGCGCGGGGTCGGCCCGTAACGTGCGTCGTATACGCCATGCTCATGTGGTGGGCCGCCGAGGTTGCCCGTGAGCGCGGCCTGCCCCGGGCGCTCTACTGGATCCAGCCGGCCACGATGCTGGCCGTGTACTACCACTACTTCCATGGGTACGAGAGGCTCGTCACGGAGCATGCTGCCGAGCCGGGATTCATGGTGTCCATCCCGGGCCTTCCACCCATGGCGATCCGTGACCTCCCAAGCTTCTTCAGCAACCTCGCCGACGGAAGGATAGTTGCGGCGTTCCGGGACATCCGCAGGACGTTCCAGCAGCTGGACCTGGACGTCGACAGTAGCAGCAGCGCTGGAGGAAGCAGACGAGCCATGGTGCTCGTGAACACCGTCGAAGAATTAGAGGCCGGTGCTCTCGCGTCCGTTCCTGGACTGTGTTGGAAAATAATCCAAATATATTCAAGTTGGCAAGTCATGTACGTGCTAGTTGTCTAGGTGATGTTACACGTACACGTTGATGTGAAGTCCGTGTCCTAGTATTTGTTGGTAGTCGTCTATATCAAGTAGTACTAGTATATGTGAAAGTAAGGATTAATCAAGGTGGCCGCTCGGTTAGACTAGGTAATAGCACGTGTCCGGTCGTAGGCTAGCTTGTGGTGTCGGAGTCGTATACGTGATGGAAGTCATCAAGGATTAGGAGTCGAGTCGTGACTTGCGTTGGGTATTGCCGGGCGTGTATATTATATATACACAGGCAGACCACAGCTTTGTAAGCACCGTGAGTTGAGAAACAAGAAAATAAAGAGGAGAAAGAGGGCACGACAAGGGCCCTTGGCTATCAGTTATTGTGCACGTGTGTTCGTGTGATTTTATGTGATCGATCCTGTGGTGAATTTCCAACAATTGGTATAAGAGCTAGGTCGATTTGAAGCCGCGCTTGCCCCGGCGTGGCGATCTGCTAGCGCCTCGGGGCGGGCGATACTGTCGTTGGGTGGTGCAACGACGAAGAAGAGCGGGCGATGCGACCGCTGATGGTGCAGCGAAGAGGAGAAACGGGCAATTGTCGTTCGAGCGGCAACAAGGAGGATCGGGCAGTTGTCGTTTGGCGGAGTGGCGAAAGAAGGCGGCGAGGATGCTGTCGCAAGCGAGACGTCGGGTGATTGTCGTTTGACGAAACGACATGGAGGAGGTTGACGGGAGCGGTAGTCGAGGTGCGGTGCCAGAGCGAGGAAGAGGCGACAAAGTTGTGAGCAGTCGTCAAGGTGTGCACAGGAGTTCTTGTAAGGTGCTCCAAGAGCTGAGGTGTGTGAATCTTCTGCTGCAGTTGAGATGCATCACTGGCAGGAGAGTTGAGAGTGAGAGCGGATCGGAAAAGGAATTGGTGCCTTGCGTTTCCGTTCATGATCAAGGAGTTATGGCGAGTTCATATACGATGGAGATGAGTTGCACGTATATGGCAAGTTGTGTTGCCGCTCGACAGGAGGTGTCGTTTGATAAGATGTGGCATCAACGAAGATGTGAAGATGTGACGGGTGAAGAGATGTGTCTCCCTGTGTGCAAGCAACCGACATGAAGATGAAGATCAACGTGAAGATGGGCGCGCACCGGTTAAGTTGAGTTCCTGCATGAGGCTATGCGTTTAGTCTGCATGTAGCACGCTAAGTTGTGACAGCGTGGCTGGTAGTCCGGGTAATCGTTGGTTTCAGTCTACAAAAGTCGGCACAAAAATATGATGGTGATGATGTGGTGGCCATCGTTGCATAAAGAGAGAAGTTGTGATCCGGTAAGTCGCGTCACCGGAGGCAACGAGCGTTGCGTCACCGGAGGCAACGAGCGTGACAAGATGAATAGAGGGTCATCTGCGTGTCTCGTCAAGTGAAGATGATATGTTTGGATTAGGGGGAGATTGTTGGAAAATAATCCAAATATATTCAAGTTGGCAAGTCATGTACGTGCTAGTTGTCCAGCTGATGTTACACGTACACGTTGATGTGAAGTCCGTGTCCTAGTATTTGTTGGTAGTCGTCTATATCAAGTAGTACTAGTATATCTATACCACTATTAAACAATCAAATAAGAACTTTTTTAAGCACATCCCATAAAACGTATACAGATCCAATACCACCGCATGATTAGGCCCACTAAAATCAATCTAACGGTTAGCCTTAACCTAAACTATTTTCTGTGTGCACTTAGCAATTTACATTGACTGACCGTACTCCACCGTGAAGGAAAATATGAAACTCCACGCCTGAGCAATTAGGAAACTAATAATCACGGGTGCATCATATTCTAGGAAACTAAATCAGAGTGCATCCATCCTATTAGGAAACTAATCTCAGACAAATCCATCCTATTAAAAAACTTATCTCGGACGCATCCATTCTATTAGGAAGCTAATCGCGAGCCGCCTGCCGCCATCATACACGCTAGCCACGATGGGGGAAGCGCGAGGAGCTTCGTCTTCCTTCGGAACACACGTGCCATCGCCACCATCGTCTTCTGCCTGGAGGCCATACGCTCTTCTGCCGCTACTGCGACGACTCCATCCATGTCCAGGGCATGCTCTCCGGCAACCATCGGCATCCGTGTTGACTTCAGCTCCGTTCGCAGCACCCACACCGATAAAGTGTCTGTTCAGTGGGTGCATGTGCATTACATATTAAATAAGAATCGTGGGGCTTCAAACAATCTAGAATTATAGATTTAGAATTATCTTAGGTTGCCGATTGCTGTACTGAAAATGTGTAATTATATATGGCACATACATAAGAATACAACAATCTTGTCTTACAAACTAGGATCAAGAGGGGTACTGAAGAAGTCAAGATGCAGAGTCTATTTCCCATGATTACTTCTCATATTCATGTCGGCTTTCTTGGGCTTTACTTCGTACCACCATATGCATTAAACTTTATCATAATTGCATAGCAATCCAGTAAATTATGTAAGATTCAGTAGGAGGCAAGATATTGAAGATGTACTACTATTTCAGTTACATGATTCTATAAATCTAAAACGGGTCACATGACTCCGTAACTATTGTTAGAGAATATCTCTCGCTGTTCTGTAAATATATGCAATCTCTACTGTGTTCTAATAAAGAGAATTTTACCATATAGAAGGATCCAATGAAGAAACTAATCCGGCTGAGTTTCAATAAATAGATCCTTCAAAGGATTTGTCCTAATACAGCTGCCGTATATTGGTACAGAGAAATCATATAAACTGTACTCAGTCGGATTTATTTTGTTTCATGACAGAGAAACCAAATACCTTTCGCTATTTTGGCACATATATTTGTTCTTATATACTTGTGCAGTTTCGAATGATCCAACATATCTGCAGTCATCAAACTTGAAGACATGCTGTTTAAGAACGCCTCTCTTTCTTAAACAGATCCTTATTTGCACCGCCTCTCTTTCTTTGTCTGCGCGCCTCTTTCCTCCAATAATAATAATGAACAACGTTTTCCGGATCAGGTATTACACTGTTACAAATGTATGCTGAAGCTACTCCTTACGATAAGGAAAAAGAGGATGAATGCTTTCTATCTTCACCAGTTTTGTAGCATGTTCCAAATTGTTGGCTCTTTCTTATTTGAGGATTCATCATTTTTTTGTAATTTAGAAGCTGACCTGAAAGCTTGATAAGGTTAAGCTTGACAAATACTCTAGAATACTCTTCCTTCCATCTTTATTTTTCTTCATAATCATTTCAGTTTCTATACGTACAAAGCGTCTTACATCATTATAAGTTAGTATGGTTGCCAACACATAAACACATACAAAACCGGATAAATATTTCTATCATGATAATTATTGGATTTGTTTTAGCCCTTTTACATTTCAATTAGTTCTTGTAAATCATCTTTATTTCATATAGAAGTCGTTGTAGTCACATATCATCTTCTATTTCCCATTATCCATAGTAGGTAGCTAGCTATATAATTTTGGCAATCCACACAACCAAAAAATATATATAATTTGATCCAAATTAGTATAAATATATATTTTGCTATGCAGATTAGTAGAATAAAATAAGATTCAAGAATTAAGCATCTTGAACAATATAATTGCACCGTAAGACAGTTTATACTTTTTTTTCCTGACTACACTCGAAGAGAAGACTATATTTTTAAAAACAATTGCTGATTAATAAATAATTGCTGATTTTATTTAAATGAGAATATTTTCCTGCTATTACTATATGCAGCAACATAACCACTATTGTGTCTCGCTCTTGAAAATACAATTTGAGCGACATCAAACATTGTGTATCCATTTGATTTGTATTTTTAAAAACGTTTATTTTTTTATATTATGTGAATTCACCCGTTTTACGTTCGAGACGTGTGTTGCACGTGCATGCTTACTAGTGTGAAAGTAAGGATTAATCAAGGTGGCCGCTCGGTTAGGCGCTAGGTAATAGCACGTGTCCGGTCGTAGGCTAGCTTGTGGTGTCCGAGTCGTGTACGTGATGGAAGTCATCAAGGATTAGGAGTCGAGTCGTGACTTGCGTTGGGTATTGCCGGGCGTGTATATTATATATACACAGGCAGACCACAGCTTTGTAAGCACCGTGAGTTGAGAAACAAGAAAATAAAGAGGAGAAAGAGGACACGACAAGGGCCCTTGGCTATCAGTTGTTGTGCACGTGTGTTCGTGTGATTTTATGTGATCGATCCTGTGGTGAATTTCCAACAGACTGGACGTGTTCCCCGTCGGCCCAGCCGTGGTGTCGCTCTTCACCGAGGGCGAGGGCAGCACGAGTGGCACCGCCGCCGCAGTAGGAGATCTCTTTGAGCACGACGAAAATGCTTACATGGAGTGGCTGGACACAAAGCCAGCACGGTCGGTGGTGTACGTGTCGTTCGGGACCATGGCGGCGGTAAGCAAGCGACAGAAGGACGAGCTGAAGCGAGGCCTCGCCGCGAGCGGCCGGCCGTACCTGTGGGTGGTGCGGAACAACAACAGAGACGATGGCTTTAACGACGCCGGCGACGAGCGGCGCATGGTGGTTGGGTGGTGCGACCAGGTGCGGGTGCTGTCGCATCCGGCCGTCGGGTGCTTCGTGACGCACTGCGGCTGGAACTCCACTCTGGAGACCGTGGCGTGCGGCGCGCCGGTGGTCGCCGTGCCACAGTGGTCCGACCAGGACACGAACGCGCGCCTGGTCGTCCAGTGGGGCATCGGCGTGCGCACCACGACCGACGTTGACAGGGTTCTGGACGCAGAGGAGCTCGCGAGGTGCCTGGAACTGATCATGGGTGACAGGGAGGAGGGCGCCGCCATACGGGAGTGCTCGGCGGCGTGGAAGGTGAAGTTGCGGCAAGCAATCGCGGACGGCGGCTCATCCGGTCGTAATCTGAGGACTTTCCTGGACCAATTTGCGAATGATGCTTAATTAGCTCAGATTTGCCTCATCTAAGTGCCTCATCGTTGGATTTGTTTTGTCTTTAAAATTCGTACACTGATGATATGACGATATTTTTT